ACTCGGGTCAGTTTTTCAAGACAAAAATGCTATGATTAGATGTTTTTGCTTAGCGGCTATAAATGGACACTTTGAGTTTTATGTTAAGAGGTCAAGTAACACAAGATATTCTTTGGTATGTGCTGATGAAANTTATCGAGGTACCTGCACGGCGTTCGCAACCATTGATCTTCTCCCTCCTATCCTATCTCTTTATTTCCACATTATTAGACTTTGGATATACCATGTATTAGGATGATATTCTATATTCTAGAGGCTCAGATTCGTGACACCAGGTCCTAGTGAGATTATATTGTGTATTTTGTTAAATTCTTCAGTACTTTAATCTTGCTTAATTGATATTTCTTTCCGCTATTTTTGATAAATTGGGTTAAGTGTTGAATAATGGTCGGGCTTGCCTAGTAGTGTGCTGGGCGCCATCACGACCGGGATTTGGGTCGTGACAAAAAAGGAAAGCAAAAGGAAAGGCAAAAGAATCCCCATCAATAATACTAAAGTAAAATGTATCATTGGATGATGTAAAACTCGGGTCAGTTTTTCAAGACAAAAATGCTATGATTAGATGTTTTTGCTTAGCGGCTATAAATGGACACTTTGAGTTTTATGTTAAGAGGTCAAGTAACACAAGATATTCTTTGGTATGTGCTGATGAAAAGTGTGGTTGGACTGTTCGAGGTTCAAGAATTAAACAATCAACACTTTTTAAAATAGTTAAATTTCAGAGAACACATGAGTGCTCGGTTGATATTAGAAAATCACACCAAAGACAAGCAACTTCTAATGTGATTAGAGATTATATGATTGACAACTTAAGGGACATAGCTACTGAAGTAAAGCCTAAGTTTGTCATTTCAGAAATGAAAAGAGCACATGGAATAGATGTTGGTTATGGAAAAGCATGGCATGCTATTCAAAAAGAGTTATCTTTATTAAGAGGAACAACTGAACAGAATTATGAGCAGCTGGCATCATATTTGTATATGATCGAACAAAAAAATCCAGGATCATATACTAATATTCAGAGAGATGCAGAAAACAGGTAAATTTCTTATGTTTGTGTATAAAATAGAGGCTTTTGAAATTTAGTAATAAATTTTGTCCAGTATATTATACTGAATTCTCGTGTGAATGTTTGTCCTCCAGTATGTTATACGGGATATTTTACGGGATGTTTGCCTTGTGTAAGATTTCTCTCCAGTATTTTTACGGGATATCTGCCTTGTGTAAGCTTTTATGGGATGTACTCCAGTATATTTTATGGGATGTCTGCCTTGTTTAAGTTTTCTGTCCAGTATATTATACTGGATGAGTTCTGTTTACCCTAGAAGTTTGTTTTATTTGTCATTACTTTTTTGAGTGATTATTCGTCTTCTTTTTTATTATGATCTTTAATCCAGTATATATATTTGAGTTGTGTTTGATTTCAGTATATTTTAATGGAAGTCTGTCGTCTTTAAGCTTTTTGTGTAGTATGTTATTAGTATTCAACTTGTCATATGGTATAACTGAAAGTTATTTACTTTTCAATTGAACAGGTTTGTCTACATGTTTTTCATGTATGGGGCATCAATTTCTGGNGTATTGTAGACCACTTATTGCAGTTGATGGAACATTTCTAAAAAATAAATATAGAGGTGTTCTGTTAGTGGCTGTTACAAAAGATGCAAATAAACAGATTTTCTCTATAGCATTTGGGGTAGCGGATTCAGAGAATAACGAATCATATGAATGGTATTTCAGAGAATTAAGAAAAGCAATTGGGATTCGTAAGGATTTAATGTTTTTGTCAGATCGACACAAGGCCATTGCAAATGGTATTGCAAAAGTTTTCCCTGAGTGCTACCATGGTATTTGCATATATCATTTAGAAAAGAATCCAAAGCAAAGAAGAGTGAGAAAATACTGTACTAAACCTTTTTCAAAGTGCTGCAAGAGTATACCTTCAATCAGAATTTGATGACTTCATGTCCCAAATAGCTGCTGTTGATAAGAAAATATTTAATTATTTGATGGAGGAACCACCAGGAAGGTGCTGGGCTCATTCACATTGTCCGAGAAGGCGATATGATATGTTAACAACAAATATTGTTGAGTCAATGAATAATGTATTGAGACGTGCAAGAGAATTGCCACTTTTAACAATGATGGATTGCATACAAGAAAAGTTGCAAAGCTGGTTCTATGAAAGAAGGACAACTGCAGAAGGAATATTCCGTGAGATATCAAATTGGGAAGAAGCAACATTGGAAGAAAAAATTAAACCAGCTTTTACATTTAGAGTATTGCCTATTGATCGACTCAAATTCAATGTGAAAGAAGGGGTATGGAATTTATTGTTGATCTAGACAAAAGAACATGTGATTGTTGTCAATTTCAGCTAGATGAAATACCCTGTGAACATGCAATTGACAGTATATATCAAAAGAAATCGGCCTTTTGCTCAGCCTATTATTCAAGGGACTTTTGGTTGAAAACATATGAAGGGCAAGTAAATTCTATAGGTGATTCATCAACATAGGTTATACCAGAAACTATTAAATCAGAAATCACTAAGCCTCCAGATGCAAAAGTAATGCTAGGAAGAAGACAGAAGAATCGACATGTTTCCGGTACAGAATTCAAGAAAGAACCAAGATGTGGTCGCTGCAAACAATATGGGCATAACAGAACAAATTGCACAAATTCTGCTGTAGTTCATCCTTATGCAAGAAAATACAGGGAAAAAAATGATTGATTATATACAATAAGGTTGCATTGTCTGATATGAAAAAGTGATTGTAATCCCAAATAATTTGTTTGGTATTCTTGTTTTTCAAAATATTATTACTGTTTTTTTTTGTTTCTTGATTTGCTGCAAAAAAAATCTTGTTTATGAAGTTACCGTATAAATTAATGGACATATAATTTCGGAACATATACCTCGAGCAAAATATACAGGAACATAATTTTAAATTATTTAATTCCAGTAAATTATTCTAATTACCAATTTTGCACTATTTTACACTTGTCCATTATAATATACTGGCTTATATCCCTTCATAAGTAGAATTTCCAGAATATTTTTTATGGACTAACCAAAATTGGTCAAATTTAGCATAAAAAATTCTGGATTTTTCAAGTCCAGTATTAAATACGGGACATAGTAGTTTAAAATATATAACTGCAGTGTCATATACAGGAATAAAAGATTAAATTATTTAATTCCACTAAATTGTAATAGATACCAAGTTTCCAGTTCTCCACTATAATATACTGCTTATATGCCTTTATAATTAGCATTTCCAGCATATTTTATAGGGAGTAACCAAAATTGGACGAATTTAGGATTAAAAAATCTGGATTATTCAAATCCAATATTAAATATAGGATATAATGTCTAAACAACATATAACTCTAGTGTAATATACATGAAACAAAATAATTAATTATTTAATTCCAGTAAATTGTTCTAGACATCAAATTACAAATATTTTCCGATTCTCCATGATAATGTACTCGCTTATATCCCTTCATAAGTAATATTTTCAGCATATTTTATAGGGAGTAACCAAAATTGGACGAATTTAGGATAAAAGAATCTGGATTATTCAACTCCAGTATGAAATACAGGATATCATATGTGAGCACGTGATTTTTGCCCAAAGCAAATTATTCCCAAAAATTCAAACAAAATAATTTCTTTATTATTTTACAATTTTTGTGAATTTTGGTGTCATTTTCTATTAATTGTTGCATTTTATCTGTGCATTTTAATTTATATGAAAAATACAAAAATATGCATTTGCATTTAGGATTTAATTTCATATTTTAGTATTAATTAGGGGTTAATTTGTTTTAGAACAAAATATGAAGAAAATAACAAAAATAGTTCAGTTTTGCATTTTTTAATTGTTTAATTGTGAATTCGTCCCGAAATAGTTTTTAAAATAATTTTAGAAATCAATTAGTTTAATTTTGAAGTATATTAGGACTTTATTTTAATTGTTGCAATTTTATAAAATTAGAAGAAAAAATACAAAAAATATACAAGATGAAATACAAAAATTAGATAAAAGAAACAAATGAAAAGGAAAAAAGAAAACAAAAAGAATAGAGAAAGGGCTGCCCACGATTTGGGCCATGCCCANATTTCATATTTTAGTATTAATTAGGGGTTAATTTGTTTTAGAACAAAATATGAAGAAAATAACAAAAATAGTTCAGTTTTGCATTTTTTAATTGTTTAATTGTGAATTCGTCCCGAAATAGTTTTTAAAATAATTTTAGAAATCAATTAGTTTAATTTTGAAGTATATTAGGACTTTATTTTAATTGTTGCAATTTTATAAAATTAGAAGAAAAAATACAAAAAATATACAAGATGAAATACAAAAATTAGATAAAAGAAACAAATGAAAA